AAAAAAATCTGTGCCTTGTGCTCACTTCTGCTGTGAACCTAAAACGGCTCTAAAAAATAAAGCCTATCAAGAAAAAGAAACACTAAAATAGAAGGAAACCATATATTCATGCTTGTTGGCTCGGCATCAAGGCCTCGGAGCAGACGCGAGATCATAATACTCGTGGTTACACGGAGGACGTGGGTGGGACCCACGCTTTTTATGCGTTCTTCTTTTGCAAGGATGTGAACGTGTTAGCTTTGTAAAAAATCAAATGAAAAAAATTAAAAGTCAGACACTCAGCCAACTGAGTGACCCCGGCACCCCTAAAGATTAAAACTTTTTTTTTTTTTTAAAGATTTTATTTATTTATTTTGAGAGAGAGAATGAGAGACAGAGAGCATGAGAGGGAGGAGGGTCAGAGGGAGAAGCAGACTCCCTGCCGAGCAGAGAGCCCGATGCGGGACTCGATCCCAGGACTCCAGGATCATGACCTGAGCCGAAGGCAGTCGCTTAACCAACTGAGCCACCCAGGCGCCCGAAGATTAAAACTTTTAAACGACTCCCGGACACACCGCTAGCAGTTTCTTCTCATTCTCATGGCCTCTGCAAACCTGGCAGATGGACACGGACAGCCACCGGGTTCTGGGTGCCTTAAGGCGTCTGTACGTTTCGCTAGTAAGATGCGAGTTTACAGTCCCCTCCCCCGGAGTAATAATATCCTCCCAGTACTGGTACTCCTGGTTGAACACCAGAGCTTCTTCACGAACAAAAACAAGGCCATTTTTAGGTTAATCACGACAGGAGTAAGCGGTTGCCCAGATGCCGTCTGCCTGCAGCAAGAATGTGGGGACCAGTGACCAGCTCGTCAAAGGGACGGCTGCGGGCCACACCTGCGGACTTGGCAGACTCTTCTCCCTATCTAAAAACACCTGTCCGTGGCTCCAAGGCCTGTGAGCACCTGGAAACGTTTTATGCTACGAAATATATCTGAGAGGTTTCCCACGGCTCTGAAAAGGCTCTTGAAGATGAGGCAAATGTTTAAACACTGTTTAAGACATTACAAATGCAGGGACGCCTGGGTGGCTCAGTCGGCTGGGCTCGGGTCATGGTCCCAGGGTCCTGGGATCAAGTCCCACATCGGGCTCCTTGCTCAGCGGGGAGCCTGCTTCTCCCTCTGCCTGCCGCTCCCCCTGCTTGTGCTCTCTCTCACACAAATGAATAAAATCTTTTTAAAGAAATCATGAATGCAAACAAACTTAAAACCGAGAGCTTCTTAGTAAGAGGATCAACATCCCTCTGAGTGGCCTTCTGGTTATGTGAGCTTGACCGCGGTCTCGTGGCTGCAGGGCGCGATGGGCAGATGGTAAGACTCAGGTCTGGGCAGTAGACATTCATGTGTGTGTGTGTTCTGGGGACAGCCTGAACACCTGGGGAACTTGGCACAGGAGTGGCCAGGTGTGACAAATGACACATAACTGGTAGCCGCGATTAGTTTTTGATAAGATATAAATCACAGATGGGGAAATGTGCCCATTTTGGTGACAGTTCTCGGAGCTCTGACAAATGCTTCTAGCTCCGTGTCCACCATCCAATCAAGATACAGACCAGATCTATGTCCCTGGATCCCCCGGCCCCTTCCCTCTGCAGTTAACCCCTTCCTGCAAATTCCTGGTAACTGCTGACCCCATCTCCGAGTTGGGCCTTTGTAAAACTGTCACCGGAGTGGAATCAGGCAGAATGTAGTCTTGTGTGGTTTCACTTAGCGTGGGGCACTGGAGAGTCATCCACACTGCCGCCCGTGTCCACGGTTCATTTATCCAACAGCTTGACTGAGAAGTATCTACATACTACACCCTCACATGGTGTACGATTCTGTGTTTTCTAGCATATGCAGAGGTCTGCAACCATCACCATGATCTAGTTCCAGAACATTCCATCACCCCATAAAGAAGCCCCATCCCTTCCCCTCTCCCCAGCCCCCATTTCTGCGAGCCCCCTTCCCGTCCACGGATGAGCCTGTTCTGTGCGTGTCACACACGTGGACTCACATCCCGTGTGGCCTTCTGTGTCTGGTTCCCTCCCTGAGCGTCGTGGGCTCGGGGTCCGTCCCCGGGGCAGCGCATGTGGGCGCCTGGCTCCTGTTCGCGGCTGAGGGACGCTCCCGAGTGGGGGACACATTATGTGTATCCGTTCACCCACTGATGGGCACCAAAGTTGTTTCTACTTGTTGGCCACTGTGAATCCCGCTGCTGTGAAGGGTCACGTACACATTTCTGTGTGGGTGACTTTTCATTCCTAGTGGGATGACACCTCGCAGTGAAGTGCAGGGTTATATGGTGAGCGTACATTTAACTTTGTAAGGAATGGCTGGTTTGCATCCGCACCGAGCACGGCCTCCCGGCGAGCACTGAAAGATTATGAATCACCCTGTGCCTACTGTTCCCAGCCAGCACTGGCTTCTTAGGTGACCCTCTGCAGAAACAAACCATTATCAAAGGAGCAAGTGCGTCAGAGGCCCCGGCTCCGAGCTGTGTGCGCCCGCCACCACGGGTCCTCCTGGGCGCCGACCAGGAACTGGGGTTTCTTCTGATGACACCCCTGCAGGGATGCCCCCGGGGCCTCTCGGACTTCCGTTCCAGCTGCTCCGGGGGGCATCGCTGCGATGTCTCCCTGCATGTCACCAGGCGGAAGCCACAGAACATCAAACCATCCCTGCACATTTGCTGAGAATCTGGCCTGCTACTCGCTTGTGAGGTGGCCACAGGACAGCCGCCAAGGAGCCCACGGGCTGGGGGTGCCCCATCTGGCTCACGCAGCACCACCCGCCCCAGTGCTCGGCTCCCTGTGGTCTTGCCACTGCGCTAGATGGCTGCTGCTGGGACAACGCCGTGCCACCACATGTCTGCTCTGCTTAAAGGTGATTTCTTCAAGATGAACCCCCTCTTCCAAAACAAACGAATTCAGCCTATTCCAAGACAAGCCTCCAGCCTGCGGTCGCCCCAGCCAGTGTGCATGACCTTGGCTCTCCCTTAGCCGACGCGGCAGCAGGCTGTCCACCTCTAAGAGTTTAAGCTTAGTCGGGGGGTGGGGGGGGAGGACAGGGCACTTGTGCTCTCTTCCAAGCTGCTGGTGACACTGGGTCAGGAGCACAGAGCAGTGGTTAGGGGTCTGTGCCCTGCGCACCTCGGTCACTTCCCAGCTGGGCAAGCCCGGGCCTCCGTGTCCTCGAGTGTGCAATGGGGTAACACCAGAGCAGTTTGGCCTCCTGGGGTTGTGGAGAGGAAGAAATGAGATGTGTGTGTGGCTCAGCACAGCGTGGGGCACCCGATAACCACCAAGGAGAGGTGCTACTTCGGTTCATTGTCCCGTAAATCAATTTTCCACACACATCCAAAAGGCTGCCACGTGGAAGAGGGTGCGTTGGGACTGGCCCTGGGTGCCTGGGGGTAGGCTGGACTCATGGGCTTTGGCTCACCATTACGAGGAACGTTCCACCACTTGGCTTCATCCCATAGTGGAAGGACTAGCTGGAGAAGCAGCGAGGCCTGGAGCTGTGGCAAGAAGGGGTGGACAATGGCAGGACGCCTGCTGTCCTGATGGCGGGGGTTACCGTTTGTTTGCTACGTTTTGTTAAAATACCGTCACTGGGAATCATTTACTTGCAAAGAAGACATATCTAGAATAACAAAAATCACTCTTGCCCAGTGGTCTCCAACGAGGGATAATTCTGTCCTTCAGGGAACACTGGGCAATGTCTGGAGATGTTTTTGGAAGTCACGACTGGGGACTGGGGTGCTCCTGGCACTGAGTGGGTGGGGCCAGGAAGGCTGCTCGAGGCCCCAGTGCCTGGGACGGCTCCCTCAGAGAACGACCCGGCCCCGAATCCCGGACGTTAGAGGTGCCAAGGGTGGAGAGAGATCTGCTCTTGCCCATTTCAACGCGCTGTCCCAAGTGGGAGGAGAGAGGGGCTGAGAACCGGCTTGCCGGGAGTGTCAGGCACATGAGAGGCTCCCAAGCAGCCTCCCTCTCTACGACTCTACGCTGTTGGTTGACACAGTACTACACGCTATTCTGGAGCAAGAGCAGTATTTCCCAAAGACTGGTTGTCGGGGAGGAAAGCACAATTAGGGATAAAAAGATCTTCGGTCAGGTCAATGAAGATGAGGGGGTTTGCTTCTCCCTCTGCCCCTCCCCCTGCTCATGCTCTCTCTCTAATAAATGGATAAAATCTCAAAAAAAAAAAAAAGAAAAAAAGACAGTTTTTACTGATTTTTATAGTGATGATGGCTTCTTCCTTTTCATTTTTCTTTTATTCTTTCTAACCATGTTGAGCAGAAAATCTGTGCATCTTCCCGAAAACTTGCAGCTCTCCCTCCCAATAATACCAAGCAGTGGTATGCAGAAAGCACTCCATGCCAGTCCTTTATTCTCAGAGCACTCTGTAATGGTGCGTCACTGCTAGTCTGCTGCTGTGGGCATTGCTGCCTGCGGCCGCCATAACCAACCACCCCAAACTTGCTACCTTACAACCACTACCATTTCTTCTCTGCCGGTTCTTGAGGCCAAAAGTCGAAATCAAGATGTCCCCGGGCTGGGCTCCCTCCGAAGGCTGTGGGGCAGCAACCTTCCTGCCTCTTCTGGTTTCCAGTGGCTCCAGATGCCCCTTGGCTTGTGGCCACACCCCTCCATCTTTGGCTCCATCTTCACATGGCCTTTTCCTCTGTGTGTCTTCTCCTCTTCCATCAAATCTCTCCTGAGTGTCTCTTCTAAGACGAGCTGTCACTGGATTTAGGGCCCACCTGGATAACCCAGGATGATCCCTTCACTGCAAAATCCTGAACTTACATCTGCAAATATTTTCTTCTAAATAAGGTTACATTCACAGGTTCCAGGAATTAGGATGTGAACATATCTTTGGAGGGGGGGCATTCAAGTCACCACCCTGCATGATAAATGACCACGAATTTAGCAGCTTAACTGCACTGTCCACTGATAAGCTCTCAGTCCCCGAGGCAGAAACTGGCCACGGCAGGCCCTCTGCTCAGAATCTCACAGACTGGACTCAAGGTGTCAGCAGACTGTACCCGTCTGAGGTTCAGAGTCCTCTTCCATTCAGTTCTTGTGGTGGTGAAACAGAAGCCTTGCCACAAGCCAGGGGCTGCCCTCAGCTCCGAGAAGCCACCTGCGCTCCTTGCCCTGTGCCCCCCTCACAGCCAGCAATGGTGAGTCACATTCTTCTTATGCTTCAGATCTCTTATTTCCTCTCTGCACCAGCTGCTGGAGAAAACAGCCACCGAGAAATGGGGACCTCAGTCCTACACGGCAAGGAACTGAATTCTACCAACAACTTGAATGAGCCTGTAGATAAGAGCCCTACCAGTTGACAACTTGATTTGGGCTTTATGAAATACCCACCTGAGCTGCGCTTCTGACCTCCAGAATTGTGAGATAATAAATGGGTGTTGTTTTAAGCTGCTACGTTTGTCATGATTTGTCATGCAGCACAGAAGGCAAATAAAATACTCCTAAGAGAGGCTCACAGGTGCGGCACGTCCTTATCTCACGTGCCTCTTTCCATCCAGATGTTTGCTCACTCTGTGGAATTATAGGGGGGGAATCTACCATCACTAGTTACCTTGAGCATTATCTTTTATTGGTGAAACAAGAACAGTTCAGTAAGTTTAAGTTAATTAAGGTATGACCCAACTCCACTGCTCCCTGGAGAGCATCTCTCCATGACAGTGGATACTGCCATACAAAACTATGCGGAATTTTGAACAACTCACCTCGTTGGTCCCTCCTTGAGAAGCGTAGGTGAATGCACAAGTGTATTTGTCCTGGAGAATGGAAGGTGGAAAAAAGCTTGTTAGGAGGTGATCCTTATTGCTTATGGTGGAGGGTCTCAGGATGTCCTCTGAGATCCAAAATCAAGAAGATCCAGCTTTTGAGCATCTGCACTAAGGGGAAGGAAGCAGAGCAAGATTCCTGACTGATGTCCCTGGAGGCCAGCCTCACAAGGTCTCCCAGTGTCTACCGACGTAGAACTCCCCTACCTGCCCCCCTGCTAATGAGCTCCTGAGTCAGGACAAACAACTCAGGTGGCTTCTGGGTGTGAAGAACAGGAAGGGGGAAGGGGGAGGTCCCACACCCTCCAAGCACCCACCCATCTAGGCACATGGACTTTGGAAGCAGGACATGAACACCAGAAGACCCATCTCCGCTCTGCTGTGGGCCTTAGACAAGTGAAAGCTTTTTCTGAGCCTGTTTTCCTCATCTGTGAAATGGTCCTAGCAAATCAAGCATTTGGCACAATATCTGGCTATAAGTACTCAATAAATGGCAGCTATCGACATCCGTTACAGACACGGAAATTAAAGATGGGAGGGGAAGGACTTCTCCAACAAGCTGGGGACAGGCCTGGGCTGGACCCCGGCTTGCTGACCTCCAGGTGAAGAGGGCCTTGCCTCACACCTCAATGAAAGAGAGGGAAGGCCTCGTGCAATGGAGAAAAAGAGCAAAGTCTGTCCACCTCTTCTCTCGTCAGAGCTGCAGCGGAGTTGACCTTCTACAGGGCCTGGAGGCGAAATACCCCTTAGCCTCCTCTCTCCCCACCTCTGGGGCGGCTCAGCCCTCAGATGGCCGGGGACTCGCCTGGTCTGGGAGTGAGGGCTGCGTGGGCATGTGAGAGGAAACAGGGACTGAGGCTGGCGACCCAACCCTCCAAGTCCCCAGACCCCAGGACGCCGAGCTCCCGTAAGTTCAGTCGCACCTCAGTGGTGACCGCACCCCCCCGAGTCCCTTCCTCAGTCCCCGCCCCCGACCGTCCGCGCCCCCTTCTCAGGATCCGCCCCCAACGGCGCCACCGCTCCAGCCCCCGGGGCGGCGGCGATACGTACCCCCGGGCCCACGTTCTGGGAAAAGGAGTGCACGACGCCGCCAGGTCGCACGTCAAACGCCACAGTCGTGGGCTCGGACACCGCCTCCGCCGGCCTCAACGCCACGGCCGCCAGCAGCAACACAGCCCACAGGCTCGCACCTCCGCCGTTCCGCCTTTCGCTGGGCGCCGCCATCTTGGGATCGGGTCCGCAGGGCTGGGGCGGCGACGGGACGCGGCGAGGGACACGTGGGGCGTCCGCTAGAGGCCACGTCGGCGGCGGCGCGGCCACGTGACCTGACGCGCCCCGCCTCCTCCCGCCTGGGGCCGCCATGTTGGGGCGGGCCTTGGATTTACGGGGTGAGTCCCTGGGGTGAGTGGTCCTGGAGTCCGTCCGTGCTGCAATTTCTAGCCCTGTGACTAACCCTACAGCTCTTCCAGTTAGTAAGTGTAGTAAATTCCGTCTGGAATGAGGGAAATGGACGATAACCATTGGGCAAATACCTCAGTTGTTGCAGCCAAGATCCCTGGATGGATCTGAAAATTAATAAGGGGAACCCTCGTTTTTAGAATGGAGTGGAGAGGCCGGCAGGTAAAGCTCTGCGCCCTATGACTTCTGGTAATTGCAGACCCAGTAGGAAGTCCAGCACCTTGCAGTCCATAGTATGTTAGCCACTACTTCCCGGCCCTAGCGGGAGGAAGGAAGTTTTCCCCTGCCCTGGCAACAGCCCAGCTAATGAGAGACAGCCACAGCCCAGCCAATGAACGATAATTACAGCCAGCTAATGAAAGACAGCCAGAGCCCAGCCAATGAAAGACAGCTACAGCTCAGTCAGTGAGACAAAGCTACAGCCCAGCCATTAAGGCACAGCCACAGCCCAGCCAATGGGACACAGCTACAGCTCAGCGAATGAGAGAGCCACAGTCCAGCCAATGAGAGACAGCCACAGCCAAGCCAATGAGAAGCCGCCACACCCGGAACTGAGACAGTGGACTTTTGCTTATAACCGCCTGTTGCAACTTGCTCTTTCTTCTGTAAGAGTAGTTCTCTCCCTCGTTCTGCAGATTTGCCTCTGGTTGTTGCGGTAGCTTGCTTGTCCTGGGTTGCAGTTCTCTGCTACTCCTGAATAGACCTATTTTTACTGGTAAAATAACTGGCAGTTTTATTTTTTAAGGTTAACATCTAAAAATTGGCCGGGGCACGCGGGAGAGTATGATGAACAACAGGATATTTCCCTAGTCTCAAAGTCTTTTCCCCCAAGATACTTACTAGTTATAAAGGGAAAAATAGTACTTTTAGAGTGAAGACACCCTCTTTAGCCCAATGATCAAAGTTAATGTCACCAATGTGACGTCAACAACCGGGAAGGACATTTTCAGTGGCGCCTCTCGACTTCCTGCCCCAAGTGCAGGACTTCAATCTAATTATTATAAGCAAATATCCTACAAAATCCCAAGCTGAGGGACGTCCCACCAGATAACAGGGCAGTCCTCTTCACAGACATCGTGAAAGACAAAGGCTGAGGCACCATCCGTCACAGGAGGAGGAGGCCAAGGCAACAAAACACAATGTGGGATCCTGGATGGGCTCCTTGTCCTAGTTCAGCCTGTTGTAACAAGAATACCGCAGACCCCGCAGCTTATAAACAAACACACGTTTATTTCTCACAGTTCTGGAGGCTGGAAGTTCAAGATCAAGGTGAGGCACATTTGGTGTCTGATGAGGCCCGCCTCCTGGGCCACAGGCGGCCCTATGCTCATATTCCCACTGTCCTCGCAGGGTGGAAGGGGCAGGGAGCCCTCTGGGGCCTCTCTCCTAAGGCATTCATCCGGTTCATGGGAGGTCCACCCTCATGACCTAATACCCTCCCAAAGGCCCCGCCTCCCCATACTTCCCATCACCGTGGGCGTTAGCTTTCAACATCCGAATTTTGGAAGGACATGTTCAGTCAGTAACAATCCTGGACGAAAAAAATGACCTCTACCTGTTAGATAATAGGACTGTATTGGTGCTCATTTCCTGGCTTCATTATCCCGATTCAACCATGGTTACGTGGTGATGTGAACATTAGGGGAAGCTGGGTGAAGAGTCTCCAGGAACTCTGTACTATTTCTGCAGCTTTTCTGTCAGCCTAAAATTATTTAAAAATAAACTAAAAAGAAAATAATCCCTACCTCAGGGTGTAGTCAGGAAAGTTAACTGAGGAAATGCAGGCGACATTTCTATAAATAAGAATTCTTAACACAAGCTTTCCCCCCACCCCCCACCCCTTTTTTAGGTCACAAATTGCTTAAATTTTCAAGAAAACACCAATGGCGAGGTCTGGAGTGTCCAGAATTAAGCTTGTTTTCCTAGTCCCTCCTGACTTGAAAGAACAGAATCCAGAAAGAAAATGGAATAGGTAACCCTTAAGCTGGGCTGTATCAAAAAACCTGTCAGGGGGCGCCTGGGTGGCTCAGTTGGTTAGGCGGCTGCTTTCGGCTCAGGTCATGATCCTGGAGTCCCTGGATCGAGTCCCGCATCGGGCTCCCTGCTCGGCGGGGAGCCTGCTTCTCCCTCTGACCCTCCCCCCT